GTGTAAAATGATTACAAATATCGTATAATCACACCTTAATATTACTAGGGGTTAAATTATAGTGAAACAATAACAACACAGCTTGCAGCACACCTACATTGTTTTTTCTGCAAGATACTCCACAGACTATGAAATCTAAAATGGACTGCCCGCAACAATCATATCATTGAGATCAAGCATTTTTAACCCCAATCAAGGTTTAACGACTCTCCTGAAATATCATCATCCATGGTGCGGTTATTATCACAAATCCAACAATAGGTATAAATTAATGAAGTCACAGATAATAGGATGGGCCATGTTTAATTAGATAATTCTTGGTACAAAAAAACTTTAGTTCATTGTGTTTACCAAGCTGATTAAAAACCTCACCTCCTTGATCTCCTAAACGTATCTTGGAATCTACCATCACATATATGACTCAAACAGCGATTTTTCCTCGGCGTCATTAATCGTGCCATAAAAAATCATAGAAACAAATCCTAGCTAAATACGCATGCAACACGAAATCCCTTTGAAATAAAACCAAAGAAAAATCAGATTTGTAACTGAGCGAGCAAAGGATGAGACATCACAAATTGTATCTATTCAAGAAAAATGCATTACCTGGTGCATCTCTATGATGCATAAGCCAATATGACAGAAAACATATCCAATTTATAAATCAAAATTACAACAACAATAACAACAAGCCAACAAGCTAGTAAGGTTCCACGAGTGGGATACAAAGAGGGAAATTGTACACATACCTCACTCCTACCAATAAAGCCCACCTTACTTGTGATGTCCCCCCGAACCCATGGGTAACAATTTAATCAAATAGAGACATCATAGTGCCTAATAAATGTAGAAAATAAAATACTCCCTCCGTCCAAAATTAAACTTCCCATTTTGACTTGGTGCGAAAATTTATGTAAAATGAAAATTGTGTTGCCTTTCCCATTATGCCCTCATCTTTTCTACCCTGTAGTCCTGTACCCCCCACTGGCGATGCCCTCTACCACAACTGACGCCGACAAGGAAGCACCGCCGCCGCTGCAATGCCGTCTACCACAGCCGACGCCGACATGTCTGCACCGCCGCCACCGCCGCTGCCGCATCTGCACCACCGCCGATGATGCTTCTGCATCCCCCACCGTCGAAAGCTCCCGCCGTCGAAAGCCTCCGCCATCAAAGCGCCCAGCCGTCGCACTCTTGTCGTCACAACCTGCCTCTCTCGCCGTCACAAGCCCCCCGTCAAAGATCTATTTTTAGACTTCTAGTTAGGGAAGAAAATCAAGATCCCTTCATAGATCTGGGAAAAAATTAAAAATTTTGTCACTACAAACCTAGATCCGGAGAAGATGCAACCATATCTGAAAAAGATTCTTCCAGTTGACGAAAGAAGAAGAAAAAAAAGAAAAAAATGAAGAAATAAGAAGAAGACGGAAGAACAAAGAAGAAGAAGAAAGAAACGGAAGGAAGAAGAAAGAAGAAGATGACAAAAGAAGAAAGAAGGAGAAAAAAATGAAGAGAAAAAGAATGAAGAAGAGGGAGAAAACGAAGAAAAGCAACGAAAGAAGAAGTGGGAGAAGAAAAAACGGTAGAAGAAAGAAAGAAAGAAGAAAGGGAGAGGAAGTAGAGAATAAGGGTAGAATGGACATTTCATTGGCAAAAACTTTCCTAAAATAGAAATGGGAAGTTTTTTTGTGGACGGACGAAAAAGGAAAGTGGGAAGTTTAATTGTGGACGGAGGGAGTATTAATCATTATAAAATTGGTAGAATTTGAAAAACATTTGGACAAAACTTTTGGACATATCCAATGAGTAGCCTTTAGGGATGTTCCCAACATCATTCCCAGCCATTTTCATGGTAAACGGATTGAATAAAGTTGGTGAAATTAATACCTTTTCAATTTCAATTGCGAGAAATATTGATCAGTAATGAAGCTTTTAGGCTCCTAATCCATCTTTTCTTCATTGCTTAGCACCATATACTGCTTTAGTGGGTGGTAGAGAGCCTTCACAAACTATGTACTCTAAACTTAAACCACACAAACAACAAGGAATCCAATTATTAGCAATGAAAAGTCCCTAAAACACGTCCAGAAAAAATCAATCACTTAGAGAAATACATGCATGCACCAACTTAAGATTGTGAGAAAGGCTTCCAAGTCACTTAAGATCTATAACAAATCAGATTTCAATTGAGCTTGAATAACAGAACAATCAGACCTATAATAGCGAGGGACTTTACCTGCAATAGAGCAAAACAGCCACAATAGAACAAAATTGAGGTCAGATTCTTGTTCTTCAGTCGAAGATGAAACAACAGAACCAAGAAATACACAAAATTAACCACAAACGAGAGTGCCTAAGTGTCTTACACTGAGGAATGGTCGTCAGACCATATACATTGGCATCACTTGCATAATCCAGAATCTAAACAAGTAAACATCAACTAAAAATCATCCCAAAGACAAATTGAAGAATCGAACTGTCCCTAGGGTTTGCGAGATGGATTCAAAGCCCATTCCGATGCACAGGAAAAGGGACGGATTGAGGAGCGGCATCGAGAAGCGGCTGGGGAGGAGGATTGGGGTGGCCCTAGCAAGAGAGGAAAGGGGAGAGAATGGAGAATCTGAGTGAAGCCGGAAAGATGAGGTCGTAGAATCTAAATTCGGCTAACGACGGAGAGAGATGAGGTCGTGGATCTATCCGGGATTAGACCCTCAAATAATTTAGAAAGATTGTGGCATCGGTTCTCCGGAAACCCCGATGTTTAAAAAAAATCAAAAATTTAAAAAGCCTATTGGCATGGGTTCTAGTACACAAACGATGCCTTTATTTCATTTTTTAAAAAATTTAAAATTTTTAAATACGTATTAGCATCGGTTGTTTCAAACAACCGATGCCATTGATTAATGGCATCGGTTCTCTAGAAATAACCGATGCTAATAGATAATTTAATTTTTCAGATTTTATTTAATAAATATCAATTGCATCACATTTTCAAGATAACCGATGCTTTTGATATTTTGCATCGGTTGTTCAAATGGGCGATGCAATAGAGGCGGTGTTTCTGCCTTTTTTTGTAGTAGTGATGAAACCAAAAACTGATATATATTCGTAAAACAGATTGCTCCGATGCATGCTTCAGTTTCTTTAAAAAGAAATGAAGAGATCTAATATGAAACCATAAACCTATAATTTTTAAATAGATCTATCACTCCTATGCATGCTTCAGTTTCTATAAAAAATTAAGAGATCTAATTTAAAGCCAAAGATCTGTAATTTTTTATATCTCCCATGCATGCTCGGTTTGTTTAAAATAAATGAACAAATCTAATAGTAAACCATGCATCTCTAATTTATCAAATAGATGACTTTGATGCCTTGCATGGGGCTATGTTAAAAAATTAAATAGATATTTGTTTAAACTTTTGTTTTGAAAACAATATCTGATCATAGATTTATTTACAAATTGCATGCATGTCTATATTACAGTAGATATATCAAGTAAGAAGAATGAAATCTTTAAACTAGATTTTATGGGAATTGATATCGGCGCTCCTAGAGTTGACAGTGGCGCTCCACCTTTTCCAAACCCTTAAACCAAATGACCACATTAGCCTTTCACCTCTCATCTTATGGTTCTACCCACATAAGGCAATCTCTCTCACCAAAAAAATTATAGAGTATTTTCTAAATGTCAAATTTCTTTCAAAATAAAAATAAGTGTAAAGGGAAAATAAAATTGCATAAAACCAAACAAATAAAAAAATTCCTTAAACCCCAAAAATTTAATTACAGTAAAATTCATATTTTAAAAAAAGTAATATTGCATAATTAAATTTCTTTGAAATGACATTAACTTTTTTGCTCTCCTCAAACATTGGCCTAGTTACTACGAAGTATTTGTAACTGTTCATAACTTTTAAGCATAATTCATTGTATATAGTTTATTTCTTACTCTCTCCGTCCCCCAGTATTTGTCCACTTTTGACTTTTGGAACTGTTCATCTAAGCACTTTGACTTATCAAATTCTCTCAATGTGTAAACCTAAATATAGTCATGTGTGATCTTGTTTGATTTGTCTTAACATACAGATTATTAATATATAATTTCTATAATTTTTTTAAATACAAATTATAAGATAAAATAGATTAAAGAAGTGCATTGGATGGTGTGTAAAAATGAAAGTGGACAAATACTCTGGGACGGAGGGAGTAGAATATGTCATTCTTGCTTTATTTAAGATGTGGAAAAATTTGAAAATGCATCTTTTCGTTGCCAATGGAGCTAAAAAAAAGTTGCAACTTTTAGGTAAATAATGAAGTTTTGGGTAAGAAAACAGCACTTTAAGCTTCATTTGCTTCTTACTGTCAGTAAAGTTTCGGGTAGTAAATGCAGCAATCCATCAAGGGGCTAAGACAAAAGTCTCATGTATTTTATAGGGGTAAGATTGCATACATCTTGACCCCTAGACCCCCCCCCCTCCCCAACAAAGTTTTTGTTCGGACCATACTCGGTCTTCTCAAAAGAGTATTCAATTATTAACACAGAATAACATAAAGATGGTATCTGTAGCAGAGTTCAGCAGAAGCTAGGCTTCTAGAAAGGATTAGGGTAGGGGTGATGTGGCTTGATTTAAAGCAATACCTTCAGATTTTGAATCTGCACCTCATTGCAAGAATATCTCCAGAAGCATCTTCATTTATAACAGCCTGTGAATTCAAGATTGGAATTTGTGAGGAAGGTAATTTAGTTACCAATCATTAAGATTCTGTCCAGATTGCACATCCGAATAGCTATTATATAATTCATTTATGTTGACAAAATTCCTTGTTGGCACAATTGCATCTTACTATTTTGAAACGTCTTGTACAGAATTTATTATGAACTGCCAAAACAGTGAAGAATGAGGCAGGAGAGTGGGGATCACATGAAATAAAGGCTTGTAATTGATACATGATGAACAAGGTTAATATTTTTGTGAAGTCATCAAGGTCAGGATAAGCACTTACATGATTCTTTATGAATTTGGCACGCTGAGCAAATTTCAATGTGCTTCGAGTTTCTAGATAGCAGCTGCAGAAGTCAAGTCATAAGTATTTGTTTCTTCATTTCAACATTTGGTTAAAATGAACTGTTTAGTCTCCAAAACAGGGGAGCCTTTGATCCAAAATGTAACTCAGGATACAAAGACAAATGTGATTTGGTAGAAGGCATCAACGATATGTAATTATTACCTGCTGGAAGGACTGACGTTGGCAATTATGATTGTTTTTGCATTCCCTCCCAGCGAGTCCTGAAAAGAAGGAATATTATGGGCACTCTCAACCGTATGAAAGTTGTTATTAGCTATTATGAAACAAACTTTGCATTTTACACTCAGTTTTCTATAGAGGGGAAAGGTGTGGAAGGAGATTCACTAGTGCAATTACTCTTGCTGAAAACAATTTAAGAAACTTAAGGACTTTCAAGGGAAGCTTAAATCAGGACATGTCACCTGTAACAAAAATGTCAGCTTTGAATCTCGGTAACGAACATGGAGTGACTTCCCATTGGACATGTTAACAAGGTTCATAATCACAAGCCTATATATTGTTAAACCAGGTCAATTTCAAAAACACAAACACAATTAAAAGTCTGAACACAAAAATGTCATATGAGAACAACAAACCCCAATGTTGAGAGAGACGTGTTGATGTTAGTGGCTTCCTTTAGCCTTTCACCTTCGGAACCTGAACTTTATTGCTTGGTAAAAAAGCACAATTACAAAACAGATTTGGCAGATGACTATCATTTAAGATCCTCCGTATGTGTTTCATTGTAATTATTCGGTTTACCTTTCAGAACCGGCCAAATCCACAAGATTAAGGCGTGCAAACCGATGGTGTGTTACACCTTGGGACAACGTTGTAGCTCATAGCTTGATGATTCCCAGGTAATGCTCAAGGCCATGGCAGCAACAACAATAACAGCTATATCTTAGCCTTAATTCCAAAATTTTGAGTCCCGGAAACCATGTTCACTTATGAGAAAAGAGGTACAGTACTAGAGATGGGTATATTAAAAGATATTACTACCTCCATAACTTATTCATGGGAGACACTAGGAACAAGTGCACACAGGTTTGCTTCTTCATTCATAAGACTTGTGTTGGTTATGGTGCAAAGCAAAAGTGGGAACACTCAAGAAAAATGTAAGAAGTACAAATTATAAATGAAAAAGATAGGAAAGGATCACAGCTTACAAAAGGTTTACGAATAAACAAAACACATAAAAGGGAAAAAAGACGTAGTATTAGTATTAAATAAACAAAAGAAAGAGCAATTGAAGATACCAAGGTCTTTGTGTAAGGTACATGATGAGGCTTTGATCTCTTTGAGAATCCAGTGTATCATCTACTGACATAATGAAAAAATTACTATTCAGACAAGACAAGACAAAAGGATTAATGCAGAATGTTCTCGTCTGCTCTTTTAAATCATTTCCTACTGCCTTCAACTAAAACGACTCAGTTCTACCCCTGCAAATTGAATCCCCTGCCGAGTGGAAGCAAGCGAAGGATTTTCTAGAGTTTACACTCCAAATTCTCAACTGTACTCAAACTAATACATTAGAGAGGAGCTGGCAAATTATCCAACAATAATAAAAGTGGGTGAAATGAGGTAAGATGGGGAAATACAAACAAGGAGGCTGATGACAAATAGAAGCAACAATGAAAAATAAATTGTATGATTGGGAGAAAGAGAGGAGGTACACTTCATTGTCACTGGTCTGAAAGCGCATGTCCACCATTCACACCAATTATAATCCAAAGATGGGGATTCACTCTTCCCCTTCTCCTCATCACCTATCTCCAAATCACAAGCAGCCTGCGTCGGAGAGGATCGGGTTTCATCATCAGAAAAACCTCAGATGCCAGCATCGCCCTGGGGGATTCACTATTCTCCTTCTCATCACATACCTCCACATCACCAGCAACCCGGGTCGGGGCAGATCGGATTTCATCAAACTCAGGCATATAACCCTCTGATGACGGCAAATGAGAAACACCCCAGCCATCCTTATGAGACAACTCCTGGTTCTCGGATTCCAATTCAAAAATCTGCAACGATACTTTAATCTGACCAAAACCTCTTCGAGAGATTTCGCCGCTTCATTACAGACATATCCTTCACTAATTCAGAAACCCTCTTCTTCAAGTTTGAAAGAGTCTTCGAGCGACTCTACCTTGTTGTCGAGGTCCGACGGTGAACCTCCAGGAGGTGTGATGCAGCTCTGACGGTCGTGCACCACCACTCGCCGGAAAACGCCGGCTATGGGCGTTTCTCCCTGACCGGAACCCCTTTCTCGCTTTCTTTCTCTCTAGCGTATAAATCTTGGGAAGGAACGAATGGCCAACGGTGATTTATTTACTTTGAGTACAAGTTAATAACCACTTGATCCCAACCCTAAACTCACTCTTGTGTAAATTTAAACACAAAAAAGGTCTTTTCAAGTATAAAGATTATTTTTTATCTAAAAACCAAAGACTTGTGTAATTCCTTTTAAAACAGGTATTTTTTGCATAAAAAAGTATATAAAATATTTTTAAAAAGTATATAAAATCTAACTTTTTAAGCTTTAATACATTACAAACGGTTAATTCATTACAAAGTACTTTTTTTAAGTGTTTCATATATAAAAATTGGTAATTTGTGTTTATTAATGAAAGAATTTGTGCTTATGTATGGAATGTAGTATACTCTAAACTCAATATTTGTTAGTATGTTCATTATATTTAATAATAAATAAATACAAAGATATATAAACGAAAGATGGACGTATCTACTATTTATTAAATAGTACTCCATACGTCTCATAAAGATGGGTACGTTTTCAATCTTATGACTAAAGTAGAAATTAATAGAGGTATAATTTTGTGTTGACTTTTCGAAAATATCTTTGATAAGGGTAAAAGTATGATGTGATTTGTAGATTATTAGAAAAAGGTATGATATGATAGTTAGTGTTGAAATATTGGAAAATTAATATTGCTCATTGAATTATGGAATACATGATAGAGTATGTATATGAGAGACTCCTAACACAACTAGGAATAGAGAATGGAAACTAACTAACATACAACATCTACCACAAATAGGATTAGAAAGCTGACTAATAATGAAACACTACCATAATCAATACTACAAGAAGTACTATTAGTATTATTGTCTAACATTCCCTCTCAAGCTGAACTCTGGCTGAAGCAAGAGGAAGCTTGGACACTAGCTGTAAACTGGAAACTTTGAAAAGAGAGAAGTCTGCTGCTCACGTAGGTGATTGGAGAAGAGAGAAGTGTGACGCGCGTCGGTGGCTACTGGCATCGTTGGAGAAGAGAGAAGTGTGACGCGCGCCGGTGGCTGCTGACGTCGTTGGAGAAGAGAGAGAAATTGACGTGCGCTAGTAGCTGCTGACGTCGATGAAGAAGAGAGAAGGTTGACGTGCGCTTGTAGCTGCTGACGCCAAAGAAGAATAGAGAAGACTACTAGAGCCTGTTTGACTGAAGATCCTTGACGTCTTTTTCTTGGATCCGGTCAATGCCCTATTTCCTTCTTGAAGGGGTGATTTGTAGAGGTCTTATTTCCTCTTTCACTACTTCCCCTCTTGACTTTGCTTTTGTGATGATTTACTTTGAATTTTTATTGGTTCAATAGAAGAAAAAGAGAAGGGAGATTGATGATTAGAATGAGTGATTTGGGGGAGAAGAAAGTGGGATGAGAATTGGTGATGGTGAATTGTAGAGAAACAACAATCGTTTTTTTTGGAGAAGATAAGATGAGTTGATCGAGAGAGTTTGTGAGGAGTTTGGGGTTTTTTTTGAAGAACCATAGAGATGGCAAGAGGGAAGCTCCTCCTTTGACGGCTTTTTTTTTGTGATTTCAACACGGGATTTTTTTTTGAATGGAGAAGTTAATTTGAGGATAAAAGAAGGAAAAAATAGATGTGAATAAGGTGGAGCCACTGTCGCCGGAATTACCGGCGGCGGCGACGGAAGCAAAGAACTCTTTTAGGTCACCAAGAGCGGTGGCTCTGATACCATGTTGAAATATTGAAAAATTAATATTGCTCATTGAATTATGGAATACATGATAGAGTATGTATATGAGAGACTCCTAACACAACTAGGAATAGAGAATGGAAACTAACTAACATACAACATCTACCACAAATAGGATTAGGAAGCTGACTAATAATGAAACACTACCATAACCAATACTACAAGAAGTACTATTAGTATTATTGTCTAACAGTTAGGGTTTGAAAAAGTAAGGGGTAAAAGTAGTTTTTTAATAGAAATGGGAAGGAGATTATGGGACGCATTTTTTTGAAACGTGTAAATCTTTTTGGGACAAAAGAAGTATCAAGTTATAATATTTTTTAAATTTTTCGTATCAAAACAAGTTTTTTCTTTCCGTACATCTCACGAGTGATAAACTAGTGGGTTCTAATAAACAAACGATGCCTTTATTTCATTTTTTTAAAAAATTTAAAATTGTTAATTACGTGATACTTGTATATTAAAAGGTTGTTTAAAACAAAAATAAGTCACAATGCAATCACTGACAACAAGACCATAGGTCTACTGGAAAAACGCAGTTCAACAACAAAACTAGGTCACAATGCAATCGCTTACAACAATACCATCGGTCTACTGGAAAAACGCAATTGAACAACGAAAATAAGTTACAATGCAATCCCTCACAACATGACCATATGTCTTCTGGAAAAACTCAATTGAACAATGAAAATAAGTCAAAATGCAATCCCTCACAACATGACCATGCATCTACTGGAAAAACTCAATTGAACAACGAAAATAAGTCACAATGCAATCCCTCACAACTTCACCATGCATAAACTGGAAAAACTCAATCGAACAACAAAACTATGTCACAATGCAATCCCTCACAACAAGAACATGCATGTACTGAAAAACTTAATTGAACAACAAAAATTAATCACAATGCAATCCCTCACAACAAGACCATTGGTCTACTAGAAAAACTCAATTGAACAAGAAAACTAGGTCACAATGCAATCCCTCACAACATGACCATGCGTCTACTGGAAAAACTCAATTGAACAACGAAAATAAGTCACAATGCAATCGATCACAACATGACCACAAATGTACTGGAAAAACTCAATTGAACAACAAAAATAAGTCACAATGCAATCCCTCACAACATCACCATGCACAAACTTGAAAAACTCAATTGAAAAACAAAACTATGTTGCAATGCAATCTCTCACAACAAGACCATGCATGTACTGGAAATACTCAATTGAACAACAAAACTAGGTCACAATGCAATTGTCGCAGGTCGGAAACTAAAATTCAGTACCTTCGGTCGCTTCGCCATTTGCTTTGTCACAGGTCGCTTATCTTCATCAGCAATTTCATCCGATCGAGTGTCCTCTTCGTCCGTCATCTTCTCCGATTAAGATACAATGCGAAGTAGGTGAATTGGGAAGCAATTGAATTGTGAAGCAGAGGAATTGTGAATTTATCTGGTTTTTTGATTTGGCGCTCTGATCGAAGAACTAATGATGGCTAACGGGTAATTCGATTGGCTTTGACGGCTATTGGTAACGGAGACAAGTTATGATGGCTAACGGCGACTCCTATTTGGGAGATTTAATCTTCTCACCCCTATTTTGGGCTTTTATCATTATTTTACTCTTATTGGGCTCCTTCTCCCTTAAAATAATCCATATAGTTACTATGAATTCTAAATAATTAATTAGAATCTAGTAGAATTTGGATTGAACCCTCTAACTCACCTCCAATCAATCCTGGTTGCGCCTCTGTACGTCTCCAATTCTATCCTCGCCCAATCACCTACCCTGCACAAGCAACGGCTACATCCACCCTCATTCTTTGATCGGACCTTCACACTCCCATGGCATTCAATCGCGGGTCTATTTTCCTCCGCCGCGCTGTCTCTGGCGGCAGCCTCCTCCGCGTTAGCAAATGTCCCCCGACAACTGCTGCCTTATCCGGTTCTTCTCCCTGCATTTCTACCTCGAGTGCTCACAGTGGCGGCGATTGCAACCACAGAACCTTTAGCTCCGATGCTGCGTCAGCGTATCATCTGCAGGGGGGTCCGTCTCACATGCGTGCCGCAGTGTTTTAGGAACCTAATAAGCCTTTATCTTTGGAGGATTTCCACATGCCCCGCCCCAAAGCCAACGAAGTTCTTATCAAAACCAAAGGTGCAGTGCATCTCTTCTGTACATTGACTCAATTGATCTTGTAAATACGGTTAATGGGTGAAGGGCATATGCAGGGAACGATTTGTATGTTCCCTTGCAGATGTGCTGTTTGCTGGTCTTTCTTAGTTCTTACTGAGTTACTGATTAGGAGAGATATTTGGCTTAAATAGCCCCTTGGTTATTTGGTCTTTCTTCTTGGGGATATTGGTCGTATATTAATGAATATTAGGTGGCTAAATGAACTTAACTGGACTGATCTTTGTGATGCTTGCTTTTATGTTTAATTATTTTTTTAGTGTATCGGTACCCAGCACAATTTTTGTAATTCTTGCTCATCTTCAGTTGGTTAACGCTCATTACGACTCAACTGTGTCTGTGAAGATGTTTGTATTCGTGCTTCAGTGTGTTATTGAAGAAGACTAAACACACATGCTCCTTGTGTCCTAGAAAAAAAAGGTTTTGATTTGCTACTCACATAGCTAAACTTTACCTTATGTTTTTTGTGATCATTTGATAGAATAAAATCTTCAAGTTACCTCTTGTTTTGTAAAGTTTTTGATGTAGTTTAAAATATAAAAAATTTATCATTTAATTTCACATGAACTCAAAAATAATTGAATTGAAAATAACTTAGAGTCAAACATCGTAAATGGCAAGTGGTACCTTTTTTTTGGAACACAGGGAATATTGTAAATGCTAGTCCATCAAGAGCCACTCTCCAAATGTACTTTTCACCCCTTCCCCTTAACTAATACCCTTGGCAGCTTGGTTAATTAGTTTGCACTTTGCAACAAAATGTATATGCAATTGGATCTCATTTAACTATGCTTATGATCTACTTTTTTTTTGCAAATATTAGACGAGCACTAAATTCTACTCCCTCCGTCCCTGAGTGTTTGTCCACTTTCATTTTTGCACACCATCCAATACACTTCTTTAATCCATTTTATCTTGTAATTTGTATATCAAAAAATTATAAAAATTATATATTAATAATCTATATGTTAAGACGAATCAAACAAGATCACACATGACTATTTTTAGGCTTACACATTGAGAGAATTTGATGAGTCAAAGTGCTTAGATGAACAGTTCCAAAAGTCAAAAGTGGACAAATACTCAGGGACGGACCAAGTACTACTTATAATGCTTGATTAAGCAGCATGTGGAGTTTGCCACTCTGACCTGCATGTAATTAAAGGTGAACTTCCGTTTGCAAGCCCTTGTGTTGTGGGGCATGAGATAGCTGGTGAGGTGGTTGAGCACGGGCCTCTCACAGNACTTTTTTTTTGCAAATATTAGACGAGCACTAAATTCTACTCCCTCCGTCCCTGAGTGTTTGTCCACTTTCATTTTTGCACACCATCCAATACACTTCTTTAATCCATTTTATCTTGTAATTTGTATATCAAAAAATTATAAAAATTATATATTAATAATCTATATGTTAAGACGAATCAAACAAGATCACACATGACTATTTTTAGGCTTACACATTGAGAGAATTTGATGAGTCAAAGTGCTTAGATGAACAGTTCCAAAAGTCAAAAGTGGACAAATACTCAGGGACGGACCAAGTACTACTTATAATGCTTGATTAAGCAGCATGTGGAGTTTGTCACTCTGACCTGCATGTTATTAAAGGTGAACTTCCGTTTGCAAGCCCTTGTGTTGTGGGGCATGAGATAGCTGGTGAGGTGGTTGAGCACGGGCCTCTCACAGACAGTAATGTCGTTAAAAGGTCAAATAATCAAGATTCAATTGAGCTGGTATACTATTTTGTTTTTGCGTTGGAGAAGGTGAGACGTACCTTTCTTTATTGATTTTTTTAGGGGTGGGCGCGGTCCGTGATAGTCCGTGATACTACCGGAACCTATCACAGACCGCTATTATTTAAACGGTTCGGTATCGGTACGGGATGAACTCCAAAACCATTCAGTACCATTCCGTTTTGAAACGGAACAGTACAGTACCATACCCATGCTCAAACCGTACCAAAAAAAAATGAACGTACATTACTTAAAGAATATTGAATTTAATCTATAAATATGTATAAAAAAGCACAAGAATATTAAATAAAAGTATTGATCTCAAATTTAAACCAATCATAAACATAAAGAAATAAAAGATAACGAGTCCAAAGTTAAAAAATAGTTTTTTTTCCAATTCATATAATATCGGAATACTAATAACTATAAAAAATAATGCCAATAGTAATGATAAATATAATAACAACAATAATAATGAGAGAGTTTAAAAATGAATAATAAAATACGAAGTAATATATACACGGTAAGATGAAGTAGACATATACTCCATAATTATTTGAGATATGTACTCCGTATATAGCGTTGGCGGTTCGGTCCGTGATAATCGGTTTTAAATATTTGTATCACGGTCCCGTCCCATTTGGTATCGGTTCGGTTTCGGTTCGTGATGAAAAAAATTAATCCCGTTTGAAAACACTATAAACGGTTCAGTACCATTACGGTCCGGTACGGTACCATGCTAGTTCGGTTTTTTTGCCCACACCTAATTTTTTTTAAATAAACTACAGATTTCTTGTGGGAGCTCGAGTGGTAGGAGCCTTTATCCTGCCTTGTGGTAGCTGTGGGTTCTGTTCAAAGGTAGGGGTGTAAACGGATAATATCCGTGACGGATATGGCATATCCGAATCCGTATCCGTTTAAGTTTAGGAATATCCGAATCCGTATCCGTATCCGGCGGATATGTACTATACTATATCCGAATCCGTATCCGACGGATAATTAGGAGTTTCGGATATATCCGAATCCGATTAGATATCCGAAAGTAACCGAATATCTGAATCCGATTAGATATCCGAAAGTAACCGAATCCGAAAATATCCGAGTCCATTAAAAAATCAAATTAGATATCCGAATCTATTTATAAATAAATTAAACACAGTCCAAAACTATAATTGAAGTCCATAATACATTAATACCAAGGTTAACATGTTTTGAAGTAGGTTTTTTCCTTAAAAAATTTCTTTGTGGGCTTTTTCTTTTTTTTACATGGTAGGGTAACATATTGGAATTAAGAAATAAATTAGTAATGGTAAACTATGTAAATACTTGATACTCTTCTAGGGTTATATTTATTCAAAAAATTATTCGGCATTCGGATAAACGGATAAATGGATATTGGTAAACGGTTATTTAAACGGATGTATATTCGGATCGGATTTTAAACGGATCGGATATACAATTACCATATCCGTATCCGTTTAGTAATCGGATACCTTTAATCGGATACGGATAATATCCGTTTAAAACGGATACGGATATTCCCTCTTAAAACGGATACGGATGCGGACGGTAAACGGATTTTTGGCTATCCGTTGACAGCCCTATTCAAAGGTGAATATTGAAATTAGTTTGCTAAATAGGAGCACACCAAACTACTTAATTACTGTCCAGCCTTTTTCTGAGAACAAGGTCAAGATGACTTGTGCGAGTCTTTCTTTGCATACAACCGAGCTAAGGGAACCCTTTATGATGGTGAAACACGACTGTTTTTCCGCAGCAATGGTGATATGCTTATTTTGTCACTTGTCCATATTTAGTGATATGCAGTGGCGGAGCCAGAATACGATTGTTAGAGGGGCACCAAATACATTACATTACAGGGTTCGGTTCAAAGGGAACACCAAAAAATTTCCAAACACAACATAAAATGATAAAAGGATGTGCAAATATTTTTCCTTTCTAGGATGACAAACTTTTTATCTAATAGGGTATACTACGTATAAAATTTGACCATTACAATAATTCCAAATAAAATAATTTGGGTCCACATTTTGATCATCAATAAATATACGAGTAATTTTTATAGATACTAAGTATATATGGAATAAATATTATAAAGTTTGAAATAGAATATATTAAAATTGCATCTTAAAAAATAATCTAATTGTATTAAATTTACATTATAAGTAAAATGATTCTTTTTGAAATTTATAGTCCAAATTTGTAAAAGAGAATAAGGATCCGTTTGGTATACAGAATTGATGGAATTGGAATTGAATTAGAATTGAAATTCCATGAGATTCAATTCCATAGAATTGAATTCACCAATTCCAATTCATTATTTGCACTATCAATTCCAAATCTACATAATTTTTGTGCTACCAAACACCAGAATTGGAATTGAAGTCCTCAATTCCAATTCCATAGTTTGAATTCCGTATACCAAACGGGCCAAAAAAAATTAAAAGAACTCCTTGGAGACTGTTAAATGACAATTACCATTTAGGGTCTGTTCTTTAGGACTGGAAAAAAAGAGCTGGAAATTGGAAGAAACTGGAAGGAACTGGAAGAATCTGGAAGAAACTGGAAGAACTGAAAGAACTGGAAGAAACTGGAAGGAACTGGAAGAAACTGGAAGGAACTGGAAGAAACTGGAAGGAACTGGATGAAACTGGAAGGAACTAGAAAAACTGGAAAAACTAAAAAAAAAAATTTAAAAAAATTAAAAGAAATTGAAAAAACTAGAATAAATTGTAAAATCTAAAAAAAGTTTTTAAAAATTTTTTATGTGTGGTTTTAAATTATTCTCATTCTGATTCTTGTTGATATAAATTATTATTACTATTATTATAATAATAATTATTATTATTGTTGGTGGTGGTGGTGGTAGTGGTGGTGTTATCACGTTATCCAAATGATTGTCTTTAAAATAAAAAAATATTACGACTATTATTTTTCATACATAAAAAGATATTTTAAAAAATTAATTACAATATAAAATTAGCATAAATATCAAAATGTTAAATAGTTAAGAGTTATTATGGCAATGCTGTATTTATTATAAAATAATATATTTGTAATTATATTTTATACATTACAAGAATTTGTTTTAAATATCTGACATGTCACATAATGTAATCAAACTTATTTTTTCTTTAAGGATTGACAATTTATTTCCATTGTAACCCTATTTTTTGAATAAAAACATAGAACTGGTATTATTCATATTAAAAAGTTGAAGAAAAAAATAATGAATGTGATTCCTAAAAATAGTGAGATGAAAAAATGAAATAGTTTATAAACTATAGTTATGAACATAAAAATTGTAATTAAAAAAATTGTAATAATAATAATTATTATAATAATAATATATTTTTTTAGAGTTATTTGTCAAAAGGTAGAAAGAATTTGAAGAAAATAAATATTGTTGGAATAAATTAGAAGAAACTGGAAAAAACTGGAAAAAACTGGAAGAAACTGGAAGAAATTGGAAGGAACTGGAAAAAACTGGAAGAACAGGAAGAAACTGGAAGAAACTAGAAAGAACTGGAAGAAACTGAAAAGAACTGGAAGTTAAGAGTTCAAGTCTTAAAGAACAGGCCCTTAGTGAGCTCGAGTGAACGCAGAGCAAAGTAAATCTTCTTTTAAGCATTAAAATAATGAGAATTCACCATTCAACAAAACAAGTTACTCTGTATTCAACAATTGAGGAGCAGTGGAGCACTCCGTATTTACTAATTAAAGGATTAAATGAATTGAATTGTTCTTAACCTGAGATTGGTGGACGAAAGATGCAGCGGTGACTGGGTGGAGTAGCTGGGTTCGACGTAGCGGCGTCCGGCAACGGCGCTACTGCAGGGGTAGAGCCGCCGGGTTGGTGCGTCAAGGGGAAGAGGTCAGGCTCTATTCGATTTAAGATCCGAAATTCCAAATAAACTCCTTAATTGATTTTTTTTAAAAAACTCATCCTCAAAACGACGACGTTGCACTAAGTTTTTCTTTTTAAAGAATTTCAAATCCAATCAAAGAATAACGAGAAGGAAAGGGATTGCTACTGCAGCATCACCAGTGGGGCACCTCTTCGCCGAAAGGATACAATCGCCGGTCTCACACCTCTTCACCGGACAATCGCCGGGGGCACGTGCCCAGACAGCCCCCCCTTCCTCCGCCCCTGGACTGATATGCTTATTTTGTCACTTGAAATATGGAATGAAGTCGTTTGGAAAAATCTAAAATCATGATTAAATTAGTGATAGACGAGGGCAACTAGCAAAAAAGAAGATTTATGATATCTGAGATATCAAACTCGATATCTCTTTAGGGTTCACCAAACAATAAAAAAGAGTTCTTATATCAAGACAAGAAAATTCATATCTCTTTACTTGCCAAAAACACCTTTGAACTTGAAAGATGAAGGTTTTAGGTGGTCAACTTAGGGCTTGTTCTCTCTGCCTTCTGAATGATTCTAATATGATTGAAATAAGTTCTAATCTCATATGAATGTAGTTAAATTTAAAGTTGTTTTTAATCTCATCTAAAATTTGAATGTATGAAAAATTTGAAAAGGTGCACTAGACTTTTAAAATTCGAACAAATGCGTGAAATTTGAATTATTGTCACAGTCTATCCGTGAGAATTATTTTATACGGAGTATATAATATATATATATATATATATATATATATATATATATATATATATATATATAGATACATACATATATATATATATATATGTATGTATGTATGTATTTATATATATGTATGTATTTATATATATGTATATATAATATATATATATATACACACAAAAATAAACACATTCAATCACATTAAACATACATTCCATAACGTCATAACATAAAAGCATCACAAAAGAAAACACCCACAGAATAAAACATCCATGTATGTAATACTAGAGTAGTATTACATATTAGTTCATGTCTTCAAAATAAATTAAGTCTAGAAATTACACAAGAAAAGGAGTTTCAATTTCTTATTCTACCTCATGATTGAGGTAGTCATTGTCAAAATAAGTAAGAGGATCAAAGCTGGGAGGCTGAGAAGGTTGATCAATCTGGCCATGACTCTGAGGTGTTTGGCCATTCGACACTTGATTCAGGCTGGGGTTGGAAGTGTAAAAACTCGAATTTAAGGCCTTGTTCGGAGTCGGTCTTGGGTTGGTGCTTGGGAAAGCATTTTGAACAGCTATGGGAGAGGAATTGTTACAACTTTGAGGAGGGCGGCAAAGAACATTACTGTTGGTTCCGTGATCAAAATCCATAAATTGCGAAAACTGTAATGTCACATTTTTCACTTGGATTGCAAGCTCTCTCCTCATAGGCTTTCACATTCTACTCCTCCTTTTCAAACCGACAAGCAACCTGCTTCTCAGTCTCTCCTTTCTAGCGAGGTGGGATGTCTATTTCACCACTGGTTCCCCTTGTACTTTCAAACCGACAACCAACAATCTTTTACACCAAAACAAATTCCGCTGACAACAAATGTAGCTTGGTGACACCATTGGCTGAATATGTCATACAATAATTAAAATTTCATGAGAAGAGAGAACTGGACAGAGACAGATCATACCTAGATACTTTGCCAACATGATAGAAGTTGCATATATCTGATAAGGAGGATTTGCTCCATCAGCTTTGCTTGATCCTTCCTCGAGCTTCATCCACGAAGGAATAACTGTGAATGACCAAGAATCAAGGGATGCCAATGCAAATCAATAATGAGCTTACAATATTTTGGTTTTTACTGTGCATAGGTGAGCGTACAATATTTTGGTTTTGTACGACTCAACAAATATACTGAGCGTACAATATTTTGATTTTTACTATGCATAGGTGATGGAGCTAGAACAAGTGGAAGTGCCTAAGTTTGGAATAGAATATCTGAGCACACCCAAGCTAGGTGATCAACCGATTTTTGAGAGTTGACAAATTTTTTTTCCTAAAATGCCCAAACAAAGTGTTCTCTTCTGATAAAACGGGCACTTTCAGCTTTACGGAAACATTCAACTAGTTGGATCAGTCATTCCACTTCTTCCAACGAAGAGAAATCAAATGCATCAAGCAAATGGGTAAATGGTGCAACGACCCACTTTTTACCGGCCATAAACTTTAATAGAATGTGAAAGGAAATCACACACATACTCAACATACATAGCAAAGGCTTGATGGATGATCATAAATTCTAAACCCAAACTGTAAGGATCAAGCATTCTCCTTTTTCAGGAAAAAGAAAAAAAGACAAGGAATTAGAAACAAACAGGTATCTTGTACACATACCAAGCGTCTTTTGCTGATAATCTCATCCCAAATAAGTCCCTTTACAAGAGAAAGAAGATCTTCTTTGGACGACTCAATCGCATAGTTACAAAAGAATTCTGACAGCTCCTTTGCTTCAATTTCATGGAGCGCGTCCGTGACAATTTTGTCTGAAATATTAATAAGGCATGACTAAAGGGGTATAGTACATGACTACATGGTTACCGATCGGACCACATGTCCTATTCCCAAAAACATTGAGTAAAACCAGATTACAGAAGATAAAATCAAATTACGATATAATGCGTCGAGGCTGCTAAACCAAAAAAAAAAATTGCATGTTATCCCAAGCCATTTTCCTCATTTTAATGGGGCCAATGATTCACTATTATTGGGGTGTGAAATATGATGGATTAAAGTAAAATGGCTCACTAATTGCAATACTTATCATTTGGTCAAATATTTGACCACAAATCAAAAAAAAAATTGAAAAGTTGTGCAACTGGAGAGGATGCAGGGGTGCATAAGGGCCGGGCCAATGATGTGGGGGTTTACCAGGGGGTTAGGGCCAATCAAGTAATGAGTCCATACACACAATACACACCCGCCAATAGGACTCACATGGCCTCACTGGGCATAGCAATAGTTATATTCACGCCACCTGGGTGACTGGGTCACACTTTTCATCAAAGTCAGCTTCTCTCAAATTCTCTGCCTAGTTATAGTGCCACTGTGATCAATAACAATTCATGTCCTGGTCATCAAATCAAAAAAGTAATTTTATGGGCTTTGATCTTGAATCTCTACCTAGGAAATCTACTGGTTTCTTACTATGAAGCCACACTTGAAAACCACATTACCATGGGATTGCTAGACTTTCACAACATGACATCTTTAAAGTCAGCAAAGTCAGCAAAGTTCAAATGGGTCCTAAGAAAAACAATCTCACAAAGCAGGATATTGATTGCAGGAACGTGTTGTACAAATGGGGCAATAAAGACAAGCATCACCACAGAGGACAAGATTCGGCAGTTATTGAACAAGGCATCATTATTAGTTCTCAGATAGTTTCCATTTCTAGTGGAGCCAAAGATTCGCTAACATCTGGTTTTAGAATTAAGCAAAATGGCTTAGTAAACTGTATGCACTTCAATGCAAATATCGACAAGATTTCCAGGGTCATCCAGAAACTCCCCGAGTGTTCTTTTCATACACACAAACACACACGAGAAATGATGCAAACATCCGACTCCCTCACCACCTATGGGGCAGTCAGTAATTTGTTGTTGTGGTTGTATTAATAGTTCTCATATGCACTGTTTTATTAGAAATTAAGATCTACTCTTAATAGTTTCAAATCAAAACTCGTGTGTGTAATTATTGTAGCATAGTGCCCAAAACCACAAATATGAGAAAACACGAGTAATTACCGGTGTCGACTTATTTTCCATGGCACGGCAGATTGTATCTGATATATCAGAGTAAAACTGAAATCACAAAAAACAAATGAATAAATAAAGGAATACAACCAAAAAAAATTAATATAAAAGACAAGTAATCAGAGTTCAAATGTAAGAGAGATGTACATCAGAAGTACAACACATACAAAACAGAGGGAACCTTGTAAACCTACCAGATTGATTAACCAAGAGCAAACTAAAGCATCACACAACCCACACCCACCCGGCAGTCCCACTTGCTGACACGACACAGAAAATTGTCATCCCAATATATATATATATATATATATATATACACACATATATATATATATATATAGATTTTGGTTCTGGTGAGAATGCAATCTTAGGAGAGAAATGAGAATGAATCTCATGCTTTAGATTGTAAGATCTAAGGGTCAGGATTGCATCAAAATCAGATGCACCAAAATGGTTTAAAAATGCATCACGTCGAAATGCACCAAAATCCTTTGAAAATGCACTATCTCAAAATCTGAGCGCAGGATGCAATCTGATCCGCACGATGCATCAGATCCAATGGCTAGATTTTATTCTCATTTCTCTCCACAAGGTGCATTCTCACAAGAACCGGCCCTTAGATATATATATATACATATACATATATATATATATATATATATATATATATAGATTTTGGTTCAAGTGAGAATGCGATCTTATGAAAGAAATAAGAATGAATCTGGTGCTTTAGATTGTGAGATCTAATGGTCAAGATTGCATCAAAATTAGGTGCACCAAAATGGGTTAAAAATGCATCATGTCGAAATGCATCAAAATCCTTTGAAAATGCACTATCTCAAAATCTGAGTGCAGGATGCAATCTGAGCCGCACGATGCATCCGATCTAAAGGCTAGATTTTATTCTTATTTCTTTCACGAAGGTGCATTCTCACCTGATCCAGCCCCTATATATATATATATATATATATATATATATATATAAACAACATTGACATGGTACAATTGCACTTTTCAAACCAATGTTTGTCCAAAACATATAGACAATGTGTGTTGTAGCACAAAAAATATATCCTAAGCACAATTACAAAATTACATGTTGCTCAAGGTCAGACTCTCCATGGCCATTAAGAATCTTCTCACTAATGTTGTCCCTGCCAATCTTCAACTCTATAGTATCATATTGTGTTTTAGTGTACTCAAGGTCAGACATCATGTCAAATAGTTTTTCGTTAGGCTCCAAACTGCCTTCATGTTTCTTCATCCCCATGTCCAAACTACGTTGTTGCTCTTCAGGTTCCACATTCACACTGCCATTTTTCTTCTCAACTCCCAGCTCCACGTTTTCACCGTGATTCTTCATTTCCAGCTCCACACTGTCATCTTTTTTCTCAAATCCCAGATCCATACTGCTATCTTGCTTCTCCATTCCTAGCTTCACACTGCTATCTTGCTTCTCCATTCCTAGATTCACACTGCCATCTTGCGTCTTCATCCTTTCATTGGTTTGATCCTCATTTTGAATATCATTAACACTTATACCACCCTTCTGCGTGGGCATTAGAAGCCGAAATGTAGGAAATTCAGTTTCATTCTCCACTGTCTGAATTTCAACTTCTACTTGCTTTCTGATTGAGCCACCAAGTGGATTTCCATTGTTATCTTCTTCCTTTTCCTTGCCATGAAGATCTGAAGTTTGTTGTTCTTCAATTTTTTCAAAAAATTTTTCAAGAAATTTCTGCTGACGTGCTTGGGGTCCCCTTTATTTCATTCAACTCAGATATTATCTTTCCATGTGACAAACTTCCACAAGGCACAATACCTGAATGCCATTCTCTACCACCTTTACAAGAAACCTTCGAATTTGGTATCGTCTTTCAGCTGCAACCTACATCTTTCCCCTTTTTTCGTGTGCCAGCTTTTTACGCCCATTGCCATGAACCACTGTTTTGCCCTTAGGCAGTGGAGCATCATTGCCCACTGCCTAAGGGCAGTGGGCAATGAGTTTTCTTTTGTTTTCTTTTGTTTTCTTTTGATGTTTTCTTTTGTTTTTTCTTCCCCTCATTGCCACTTGTTTCTGTCTTTGGCATTGAGTTCCTGCCACTTGTTTCAGTTAATGCCATTGAGTTGCATGTTTGACCTTCTGATAAAAACATCTCAGCAACACAGTTGATCTGCATCTCAATGGATATCGCTGTCATTTCCTCCAACAAATATCGGCAAATTTAAAATCATTACAAAATACTTGTAAAAACAAGACATTTATAACATACCAAGATATAGACAGTGTTAGCACGAGAGTACTAGGATGAGGAGGATTAATCCAGAAAACTTTTTAAATACTCTTTGCTTCTTGGTTGGAGGGGATACAATATCAAAATACAAGTAACTGAAGAGCTTTAGCAACAACAACAATAACAATTATAATACTCCGTAATTAACAAAAGAAACAGAGTATGCCAACTTAAGACAGCTCTTGAAGAATCTGCAGAAGTACTTTAAACCCAACATCATCCTTTACTTTGGAAAGTTCCACAATATGTTTTGGAAAGGAGATACTGGAAGAGATGTTGCATTTGCCACCTCCACTCAACTTCATAGTTAAATTGCGACGGGAAATAAAAATAAAAAATATTTGTTATATGTAATCTTGGAAGCTCCATTTCCGCACATCCGTTTTTACTAATTTGCAAGCATAATAGTTACTCTCTCTGTCCTGGAGTACTTGCCCACTTTTGTTTTGGCACAAATACCAAGGAATGGTGAAAAAAGTCCCAAATACCCTTATCCTTCACCACCCAATTCCTTGTCGTCTAGCCCCCAAGCCACTACGTAGTGAACCCAACATCATCTGTGGCCTAGCAAGCTGCCGGCCAACCCAACTCAGCCTCTAAATATAATCCTCCACCATCCCTCCCCTTAGTCCCCCAAATAACATTTAAGTTTCAAAATAAAAAACCAAAAACAAAAAAAACTCCATTAGGATATTGAGAGTTTTATAAAGATAAAAGATGGAAGATGAAAAAGGAGAAGAAAAAACACATGAAACTCTAAATTGGTTGAATCTGCTACAATTAACATGTGAGATTTTCTTTAGATTTTATTTCAGTATTTCATCTAGATTTCTTCAGCAAAAAGCTAATTATTTCGTCCTCTCTCCATGATTCATTGCTTCTGGTTTTCTGATGTGGTGAGCAAAAAACAAGAGGTACAAATAAAGAAATCAAGACGGAGTTTTCTGTCTTAATGGGATAGCGTAAAGTGGAAAGCAACAGAGTGATTTAATAGAGGGTAGAATAGTCTTTTAGATAGGTTTTTATTAGTTAAAAAGAAAAGTGGACGGATATTGTGGGACAACCTAAAAAAGAATACTGACAGAAAGAGTACGACTAAACAATCATTTACAGCAACAGTCTTCACGGTCCTATGAAAATGGCCATAAAAATCTCGAATATGAATAAGACACTACTCCATTTCCTTCTGATCACCAATTAGTAAGGTGTTTGACATCAGATCATTTGGCTCCTGGCTTTTATTATACTATCAATGTAAAAATAATCAGCAGCTAAAAGAAAATCACGAACCAAGTAGTTCCCATCTCGAATCATTCTGTCGCGCTAACTGCCTTCAAATTTGTCGACCTTGAACGCGTTCCCAACTTCATTACATGGAATACTCCTTATAGCCTCCACGAAATCACCAAGCATTAGGATGAAATCAATGCGCATGTGCTCGTTCAAAAAAAGAGCATTATATAACGCATCTCTGCAGATTATAACAAAGAATTATTCTCATATAATTAACTTTTGAAAATTAAAGTAAAAGTGGTTACAAAATTTAAGAATATGTGCAACATAAATAAAATACTTAGCAGCAATCATGTGATGCTCTTTGTAATTTAAATTACCTAAATACAAGTCATTAAAATCAACAACACAAATATAAGATTCATCTCATCTTTAAAGAGCATGTAAATAATGGAAAGACAGTCTCACCCTTGATTCTTCAAACTTAGAAGGTCAGTCGTCATGAACCAATTTTGGAAAGCTGCATACTCATTGAGGATGGGAGCGTCTCTAGCAACGGTGTTCTTGTTGATTCTATGAAATAGCTTCTTTATCTGCTCAACCTCAAAAGTAGAAGTGTGAACATCCAAATTTCTCCTCTCAAAACTAGTGAACACGGCAACACCATTAGCACAAACATACACATCTCCATCTACGAGGGACGGTCGGAAGTCCTTGGCCAACAAAAGAAGCCAATGTAGAGAATGTGGTCCACAAGAGCCTCTTATACATCAGCGTGAAGTATAAGGCTAGTTGGGTCTTCGATTTCAAGGTTATACCCGGCAACTCTAGTCTGCGGAAAAACCAATGCTTCTTATACTCAGCTGGAGCCTCTCCACCGTTACTAAGGTAAGGCAAAACACAAGCAACACCACACGGTGGAACAAACCGACCTATCCAATGGTAACGGCTACGTAATCCATCCAATACACCAAAGAGATGCGCTGCCTCTTGTTCATTGCTTACCTTCATAGGTAACAGCTAAGAATATGAAGGTAAGCAATGAACAAGAGGCAGCGCATCTCTTCGGTGTGTTGGATGGATTGCATAGCCATTATCCTTGGATAGGTCGGTTTCTTCCACCATGCATAGACAGCCAGGCCAGTGTGGTGTTGCCTGTATTTTGCCCTACCTCATTGTCGGTGGAGAGGGCTCCAGCTGAGTATAAGAAGCATTGGTTTTTCCGCACACCAGAGTTGCCAAGTATAACCTTGAAATCGAAGACTAAACCAACCTTATACTTCACGCTGATGTATAAGAGGCTCTTGTGCACCACATTCCGTACATTGGTTTCTTTTGTTGGCAAGGACTTCTAACCGTCCCTCGCAGCTGGAGATGTGTATGTTTGTGCTAATGGTGTTGCCGTGTTCACTAGTTTTGAGAGGAGAAATTTGGATGTTCACACTCCTGCTTTTGAGGCTGAGCAAATAAAAAAGCTATTTCATAGAATCAACAAGAACACCGTTGCTAGAGACGCTCCCATCCTCGATGAGTATGCAGCTTTCCAATATTGGTTCATGACAACTGATCTTCTTAGTTTGAAGAATCAAGGGTGACACTCTCTATCCATTATGAGATGAATCTCATATTTGTGTGGTTGATTTTAATGACTTGTATTTAAATTTTAATTACAAAGAGCATCACATGATTGCCACTAACTATTTTATTTATGTTGCACAGATTCTTAATTTTGTAACCACTTTTACTTTAATTTTCAAAAGTTAATTATATGAGAATAATTCTTTGTTATAATCTGCAGAGATGCGTTAAATAATGCTCTTTTTTTGAACGAGCACATGCGCATTGATTTCGTCCTAATGCTTGGTGATTTTGTGGAGGCTAGAAGGAGTGTTCCATGTAATGAAGTTGGGAACGCGTTCAAGGTCGACAAATTTGAAGGCAATTAGCGCGACAGAATGATTCTAGATGGGAACTACTTGGTTCGTGATTTTCTTTTAGCTGCTGATTATTTTTACATTGATAGTATAATAAAACACCTTACTAATTGGTGATAAGAAGCAAATGAAGCAGTGTAATTGTTTAAACCTACTCCTGTCAGTATTCTTGTCTGGGTTGTCCCAAAATATTCGTCCACTTTCCTTTTTCACTAATAAAAACCTATCTAAAAGACTGTTCTACCCTTCATTAAATCACTCTGTTGCTTTCCACTTTACGCCATCTCATTAAGACAGAAAACTCCCTCTCCATTTCACTATTCGTACCTCTTGCTTTTTGCTCATCACATCAGCAAACCAGAACCAATGATTTATGGAGAGAGGACGAAATAATTAGCTTTTTGCAGAAGAAATCTAGATGAAATACTCAAATAGAATCTAAACAAAATCTAAAATCTCACATGTCAATTGTAGCAAATTCGACAATTTAGTGTTTCATGTGTTTCGTCTTCTCCTTTTTCATCTTCCATCTTTTATCTTTATAAAACTCTCAATATTCTCATTGAAACTTTTTTTATTTTTGGTTTTTTATTTTGAAACTTAAATGTTATTTGGGGGACTAAGGGAGGGATGGTGGAGGATTATATTTAGAGTCTGAGTTGGGTTGGCCGGCAGCATGCTAGCCCACATATATATAAAGAGTTTTCCATACTATTACGCACTTTATTCTTTATATAAGGTAAGTGTGCAATCATTCTCTACGCACTATTAAGCACTTAATTTTGAATATATATTTCATACTAGGCTTGCTAGTTAAATAAGTTTCATGGAGAACTCATCAAGATGGGTCATCAATAGCACTTCTGCAGGAATTGTGTTCACAAAATCAAAGAGGGAGTAAAAACATATACCATAGGGCGGCTGACATCTTTTCCCACAGTGAGGCGGTGACTAGGTGGCAGGAAAAAAATTACATGTTAGCTAAGAAAAGGAATGTAGCTAAATAAAAAAATCTTACCTTACTTTCAATAACACTAGTAAAAACACTGTGAGAACGACTACTAGCACGGTTCATATTTGTTGAAGCTACTTTTCTGTTTGCAGCACCCTGTACTTTGAATAAGTTATTAGAGCATAACTAATACAAATATATTCTTGTTCAACTAATAAAGCACAGAGAAAGTGTGTCCAAGAGGCAAGTATCACTAGTTCCACAGACATGTATCTCAAACAGAAAACAGTAAACATGAGCACTATTTTTGTTATAATCCAGTAATCCAATCATTTACTGTATAATTGCGTGTGACAACAATTGTATAGAATGAATGTACACTTTACAGGCAAGGTTTTTTCAGCAACATGCTCTCAAGTCTCAACTCAATTGTATAGGAAAAAGAACAAATCCACTACATCAAAATTGTTCCATGGCTAGGAAGAAAACCCGTAAACTCCACATGTCTCCAACATATATTTCTCAGAAAGTTCAGAAAGGCCAACCATGTTTTTTACTTAATTTTGAAACTCTTGCCAGGATACTCTCTAGTTTATCTAGAAATGCTCTCCCATGTTTTGAAATTATGACACCGCCTTCTTAGCTTTTTACTCTAGATCTGAAATGAGCAAAGAACTACAACACTAATAATGCCATTTCTAATTAAGTAATACAGCAAATTCGAGTTGAGATGCGAATTATTAAATCACCTGGAATGCAAAACTATAAACCCATGAAAAAATGAAAAACTGGTTGAATTAAATACTTGTTAAAAAATTGTGTATGGATACACATTACCAAGAGAACAAGATATAATAGTGGTAAAGACTATACTTCCTAAACAAGTCACAAGTGACACCATACCTGAACAAGTTGTTGAATCACATCTCGGGCACTTGTAGCATCTACCTCAGTGAGATTTTCTACATGAATCCCTTTCTTAGTATCTTCTCGTATCTACAATACCAGACGGAACTTGTTACTTTTCCCGTAGAATAGAACTAACATTTTACTATCATTCACATACCACACTTTATGCATTCATTTCAATGTTGAAAAATAGAATTGATCTACGGTATGAACAGAACCATTAGTTCAGAAAGGAGTTCCGTGAAATAATTATATGTATATGCCACATTCAAATTAAAGGAATTAAACAACAACAACAACAACCCAGTTAAATCCCACAAGAGTAGGGTTAGGGTCTGGGGAGGGTGTGTGTACACAGACCTTGCCCCTACTCGAAAGTAGAGAGGCTGTTTCCAAAGAGACCCCCGGCTCAACGTCGAAAGTTGCATTGTTTGACTAACTGCTACTTCATTAATTAAAGAAGCGCAGATAGTTTAGAGATCCATTTTGATTTATTCCATCACACCCCAAAGCCAATTGGAAGTAAATGGGGTAGGTACCTTCTTTCATTGTAAATAAAAATTTTTAAAAAAAAAAGTAAAAACAAATAGGTAAACATTTGCTGCTTTATTACATAACTAGTACTCCACCCGTGCGATGCACGGGAAAATAATCTTATAAATTTTAGGGCAATATATAATATATATCCTGAATTCTTGGGATAAAACAGTGATAGAGTTCGAAAGTGTAAATATAAGTACTGAGTATTATTTTTTGTTAAGTATAAAATGTGAAGTTCAAGTCAGAAAAAAATAATATGGAAGTAATAAGTTTTAATGAATTGAATCAGATCAACGTACATGCAATGTAAGAATGGATTAAAATATTTTATATATATAACGAATTGTATGGGACATTTTTATGGTGAATAACTAAATAAATAACGTTATAGTGAATAACTTAAATCTGAAATTTAAAAGTATCTTTTTTAAATCTTGGAAATTATTGTTATTTACTTATTATATCAGAATCTTGAGATCTTTTTGAAAATATACTACGTACTCGCTTTGTCCCATACCTTTCTTCACAGAGTTTTATTCTAACTTCACAAAAACTTTTATTTATTTACATTTTTTCTTGGCCTATATGATAAAATAATATATTTGGTCACCACTTGTTTGGTTAAACTTTTAAGCGGTTTTTAAAAATAGGATCTGTGTTTGTCGACTTTAAAAGTTCCTTCTACTTTTCAATCTGTGTTTTTGTATTTTTTGTAATCTCTAACTACCAATGATGATGTGTTAAATGAAAGGGCAGCTATGAGCATCAACCTTCTACTTTAGAATCTGAAACATTCCAAAACAGTTTTATTGACTAAAAATAATGAATTAAAATTATCAATCTCCACAAACCAGTCCAACCATAAATCCTCTGCCAATCAATATTTTTTGTGGATCCTCCACAAAACACTTTATGTTGGTATTACCTGTGATCTAATAGTTATTCTAATGTTGGAACATAAGTTGCTGCCATCAACGGCACAAGACAGGCAAACATGGTCAGTTTTGAGATTAAATGGTACTCTTAGTCTCATTCTAACACAAAATAATAATGTGCATACCAATGTATACAATAACACGCATTAAGTGTTGTAGATATAGGAAATTCATCAATATTCAAGCTCAAATACAGAATAAAGTTAAAGATATAATATTAAATAAAAGGGAAAAATGTAGGGAGAGTAAAACCTGTAGATAGTCGTTTTCCAATTCAGCACCTACTTGTGCTCCAATCATCTGGCAATCGACATCGTGAGGCCAACTCACCACTGCATTCCCGAAGCCCAAGTCATCGTGAGCGCAAATGCATCAATGGTCACTGCTTGTAGAGTCCACTACCAGCCCCATCTCCTCCGGAGCCACCATACCCAATGTGAGAGCTAAACTATGATCGTTACTGTACTCGTGTTAAAGAGATGCGACAAAGTGTTCAGCTCTTGTGTATTTCCACAACAGGTCCAAGAAAAAGGGAAAAAGGAAGCTCGTAGTTTATATTTATAAACAACAGGGGATTGGGGAATGATTAAAACGGTCATACATCAAAACTAAAAACACAACATTAGTGCTTTTTGGCAAGACAATTAAAATATGTAAATCATTCCCAGAATCCAATTATGAGCTTCCAATCCCTGGTGGGAAAGACAAATGATTTAAAGAGTTAAAACATATCGCACGGGTCAAAAACACAACATTACTGCTTTTTTGGCAAGACAGAAGTAGTTCACAACGCAAGTCCTTCATATCAATTCATTGTTTTTTGTCATTTTAAATGTTACTCTTAGTCTCATTCTAACACAAAATAATAATGTACATACCAATATATACATTAACATGCATTAAGCGGTGTAGGTATAGGAAATTCATTGGTTTCCTATTTATGATAGTAATCCTTGGTTTCCTATTTATGATTTTTTACATGAAGGAGCATCTAAAAGAGATGTTTTAAGATTCCTTTGAATATAATTAAGGAAATCATTACATAAAATTATACATGACAAAACTCACTTGAACCATAATGGGTCATTTTGAATTACCTGAAACTAAAAACGAAAAGATATTAACCCTAGAGAGAGATGAAACGGCGCATAGATCACAGAAATTTGGGAAATTTGGGTGGATGAGTTTGGTCAATGCATCTACCCTAATTATATAAGACCCAAAATTGATTAACCCAAATGATTTGGTCTTTTTTCCGTTCAACCCAAACGGTTCTCCCTTAGGGAGAAGTGTCACATAATAGGGAGACCCAGAATATGTAGACTAATTTGCAATTCACCTCACTTGGGTGGAGGGGGAGGGGAGGAAACGGGGTGTGAGGGG